TCTCCTTATGATAGTCAGTGATGGCTTGTAAACCAAAAGAAACATGCTTACTTTAACTGCAATTCACTCAACTATTAGGAGAAAAATACTCAACAGGAAATACAAACACAGAATTTAATCCAAGTGATTCGAGCTACTCAAAAAGAAGTCAGCTTCCCTTCATCATTAGTTTAGCTATCCTAGACATCTACTTCACATTGCTATTTAACAACATAGCTATTATAAGGGTGCAAGTGAAACTGTTGACTGAACAATGAAAAACTGTGTAGTCAACTGTACTTGCACACTGTGTGTTTTGCATACAGGACATTTTTTAAAAGCTGGCTACCAGAAACATGTAGCACCCGAGCTCCACCTACAGGATGAAAACAAATGTAAACATTTTCAAATGCCAATATAGAAGAGAACTGTTTACTCTGAAACCTTCAGATGATCATCTCAAGCAAATACCATTTTACAAACTCGATGTAATGCTGATAAATTTGATTACTATTGTGATGACGGCAAACACTTCTTCTACCCGTATATGTTCCTTCTTTAAACAGCTGTTCTATACTTGGATGTTTAGGTTTCAGCTTTCTAATGAAAGATAACAGACCTGCGGAATTTCTCTAACAACTCGTCAGAATGAGTGGAAAATTCTTTTTCCTGAGGTTTCCTATCTAATATAAAATTGGAAAGCATCTCAATATTTTTTCAGAACATATACAAAAGGTTCACGTGCATACTGAAATGACTAAAATTAACTTCACCATTTGAACACTCCAAGTACAATTGCATTTCGAAGTGGTATTGGACCTGACTACCAAGAATTTGAGAAGGTGTCTATTGTTTCCATATTGTTTCTCTGAAACAGATGTGCAAAATTCTGACTTCACAAATGGATTTGCATTAGAAGAAACAGGACTGATACAAATGAACATCTATTTGTAGAAAAAGCCACGTTAAAAGACAGTACTCTGGAAAAATATTTTTAGACGTTCACTTACTCTATTTGCGCATTTAAATACTTGATGAGATGAACAGTATTCATGTTTACTGTCCAATGATACGTTACTAGACATTACCTTTGAAGCTATGCATGGCAGATGCAACTTTGTGTTTGATATTTGCACCTCCCACATCTCTGTCTACTTTGATCAACACACATACTTGGACTACACTGGGTGGTGAAGTCCCATGAAAATATTACCCATCACCTTCAGTACACTCACAAAAGTGTCACTAGTCCAGACAATAAAACTTGATAATGTTTATCTTACTTCATCTCATCAGACTTTGAAGTTAATAACACCTTATTTACAACAAAAAATACCAGGCCTTTGATTTTCATACCAGAGGATGGCAACTATTTGGAAAACAGTAAGTCTAGAAGTTGATGTTACTTGTGGTACTAGGCAGTGTCTCTCAAGGTTATGGCTCCCAACTGCTAAAAATGCACCCAACAAAACTATTTTCTGAGGTAAGATAACCTATTTGGCTATAATACTACTGCTGCTGCCCTGAAAGAGCAGAATAACCACAAACACAGCACACTAATGGTCAAGAAGCAGAGCCAGTAGCTCACGGAGTGCCTAAACAAATGTCTTTGAAGATTCACTAAAATGTCATCCAACCCTGGGCATGCAGTATCTCATTCCTAAGGCTCCTAATGCCCTAGCTTTATGTTCCCTTCATGCTACAAACTTGCTACTGTATCTCAGGTAAATTTTTTTTCTAACAGCCATCCCTGTAAAACCCAACAAACAGATAGGTGGACAGGATGTCGGACAGATCGGTAGGCAGTAAGTACATACAGAGTCCAATGTCTTTTGCCATTCTAAAGATGTTAATTGCCTATCACGTACCTGAAGGTACTTTTCCATAAGAAGTTCTTCCTGCAGAACTTTTAATTTCTGAATTAGACATGGCCATCAAATACTAATCTGTATTCACCCAATCTCCATGATCAAGACCAGTTCATTGACTTCAGAAAGCTTATACTTAACTCTGTATTGAGAAATATTATGGGTAATATCACAAACATTATTCGAGTGCAGAATTAATCAATCATGCAAGGCAGAGTACTGAAAACAGGAATTACTTCTTTTTACAGTCAGGAAACTGCTCCAGCACACTTCTGCAAGATTTGAGACAGAAAACTACATCATATACTCATCTCACATAGAAACATGTCATATAGTGACATACAACCATTTGAATCAACACAAGATAAATGTTCATGTAATTTACCACTGGGACTATGCATCAATCTCAACTGCAGGACTAAAAACCAGATTTTGGGATCCAAGTTATCCAACCTCCTCCTTGATCTCAGTATACTTCCTGTGGACCAGCTGTCTACAGCACAGATAGCAGAGTCACCAATTTCCAAAGCAGTCACACAGCACAATTTCAAAGATGGCAGAAAGGAATAACAGGATAGATTTTTAAAAAATGTCTTGTACATGTCCTCAGAAACAACACCTAGACATATCTAGCACAATCATGAAAACATGGCACTAAATTTATTGTACTGTGATTTAGATGCTTTTATAGAAAAATAAGAATGAAAACTAGAACACCAATGCTCATAAAATAGAGTTTATGATGGTGTACATAATACTATACAGTTCTACAAAGAGAACAGATTTACATACAGTTACAAAAGAAATGAATATCAGTTTAGGGATCTGCCAAAGCATGAAAGTTAGGTGCCTTGCCTCTAACTAAAATAAAATCATGCAACAGCAAAAGCTAATGTCCATTTAAATTAAAGATATCCTTTTATGTTATTGTGTAGGATTTTTAATGTCAAATCAAAATGCTTATTTACTTCCAGCTATTAAGTGTACTGGATCTTCTCTTTAGCAAAAGCAAAATTACGAGGAACTTTGAGAGCAATATCACCTAAGCTGAAAAAAAACCTGACTAGAACCTATTCAAATTTACTCAGATTACATAGGCTTCTGTACTGTATCTGTTATGCTTCTCAGATTCAGATCAATACTGGAGAAGATGTAGAAAAGGACACTGAATTTCATGCTTAAATCTCATGGGAATTTTACAGTTTTGAGCTATTCAAACTTATTGAACTGTTAAAAAAACTGTTTTCTTGGCAATGATGTCTCTGTGCTTTTCACTGCTCCAAAAAAATGTAGACATACAGCAACACTTAGTTGGTATATTTTAATACACCGATATTAAAAGACTACCCAAAATAAACACAAGTGTTCCTACCACTCTAAAAGCATGGCCTGCTTCTAAACATACTGGCCATTTTTAACATATAGAGTTAGAAATATCGTATCATGTGGAACGCTCAAAACTTAACTAAGCTTGCTTTTAAAATCCTATCAAATTCTGTCAGTAAAAGTAATCAGATCGATATCCATCAAGTTGCAAATAGCAGGGTGCAATTTCCCTTTTCTCTTAATAATTAGTTTTGTTTTACAACTAAGATAATCATTGAATGCCCACCATAACTCATAACAGCCCCTTCATCAATAAGGTATAGTTGTTTCTATTTTTAGCAGATGTAAATAATCATATAAAACCAGAATAACCTAGAAGATGCACGAGTCACACATGTGAATTTCTGATGACTGTAAAATAACGACCGATTTTGTTTCAGTTATTTCTCCTGTTTTCCAACCAAAGTTTCAATATGTATTTCACCTCAATTTGTTTACAACAAATTTATCTTCATGCGTCTTGACCTAAAATCTTTACTTCCCAGGTACTAACTAGGATGGTAGTTGTGTTTTATTGACTACCAGGCATTATTTCATTATCACAGGCTGTCCTGGATTCTTCCATGTTTGCAGTATCCCTTAGCTATCACATACAAATATATCTGCAGTTAGGGTAAAGAGGAAAAAAAAGGGAAAAAACCCCAAGCAACCAAACCGAAAGAGAAGGAATGGTTCAGATCAGAGGAAATTGCAGAATTTAATATAGGCAAAGCATAAATAATTTCATTAGGCAGCCTTTATGACAACTGTGTGGAGTTGGAGCACAAAAACTAAATTACCTTCTTGATGCTTCTATCCCCTACATCCCAGTAAGTTTCACTAAATAAATCTGCACACTGAACTTCCTAACTGCAAAGACTTTAACTGTTCAGGAAATTCTAGAGCCCACATTTACTGAAATACTGTACAATAATTCCTAGGAAGTTTCCTATCAGGTCCACTACACATCACTTGCATACATAACAAATGTTTTTACATTACATAAGTACTACTAGGCAGAAATTCCCAAACCAGCTCTGGAAGAGATACAGCTAAGACACAAAGTTCCAAGAAAAAGAATTAACTCACCGAAAACTGGGTGCTATCAGTACAGATATTCACAAAGCTGGCACAATTACATTACATGATTGGAACCCATGCTTTTATGGGTCAGTAAGAGCTAAATACGGCTACAGAAACATAATAATCAGTTTCGAGATGGCTGAATAATTTGAATACAGTGTTCCACTGCTAAACACAGCCATATTCCAAACCTCTAAGAACAGCCCTAGATGGTATTATAAACTCATATATCAATCGCAGTATTGAAAAACTGGAGGAATGACTACTGTGTTAAATGAGACTTTAATATATGACTAGGAAGCCTTTACTTTCTCTCTCAGTGTTGGGTGACCACCATGTGGTATCACAGGTAAGGAAGCTACAAAATTCAGTCTTACCACTGTGCAGAAAGACAAAGTAACACATGATAAGTACATATAAATACTCTTCATTTATAAGTCACAGGGAAAAACAAAACTCTCATACAAGGCACTAATAAGTGCTCAGTGTAACAAAACGAACTTCACTGTTTGGCTCAAACTGGAAAATGAGACTAAGAAATAAGAAAGCAACAGGCAATTTCATAATCCACAGCTGTAGGTTGGTGGGGGAATAATTTTCATATAATACTAACCTATCAATGTAGTAAGTTCCAAACTGGAATTATGCAGAAATTCTAACTGTAAACAAGCTGAACGGGGAAAAAAAAAATAATACAATACTTACCTGCGACTAGTTGCCTTCTTTTCTGTCTTAATTTCTTCCTCTGCAAGTTGTTGTTTAGCATTTTCATTTGTGTCAATTTTCAATTTCTTGGCAATGCGTTCTTTTATTTGAAATCTCTCATTGCTAGTAGCTTCGTCTTCTACACTACGAGCATCTTCACCATGTTCTTCTTCTTCCTTTATTGATTTAAAATGATAAAACTTCGCTCTTAGCTTTTTTTTTTTTTTTACTACAGCAAATTGAATATGGGAAGGTTTTCTTACAAAGATAAACCCTTACCAAACAAATATAAAATACTTCATTTCAAAGCAAACTTTTCAAGCAAATATCTCCTTATTTGATTCAGAGGGAATAACAATTAGAAATCTGATAATTAAATATCTTTTCACATACAAGTTATAGCTATTTCTGTAAGGCTTAAAAAACTAAAATAGTCTAGAATGGACTAAACACCTATAGGTCTGCAGAAGACCTCATAGCAATATGATATTAGTCTGGTCATTGTTCATGAATCCAAAATTTGATCAAGGCAATACATGAAACATTTCCTTCATTTTCCACTAAAAGAAAAACAAAACTAATTAAGAACTTCCTGCCACAAGGCTGTACTCAGTCATGATAGGACAAAGAGGTTTGCCCATCAGTCTTTGTGAGGGGATTTACAAATGGTACATTGATCAAAAGAGGCTGTGAAAACCCGTGGAATCAATAATCTCAACTTGCTACAGAGGTACTACGCTTCCAGGCCTAGCAGAGGAAGGCAAAAGGGGATAAATCACCTCGGTTCAAAGACATTTGGAGGAAGAAGTCATTGCTCACAGTAATGAAGAGTCCGACTAGATGAAGAGATCCAAGTTAGAGTATTCCCTTCCTTGAAGAAGGAAGCCTGGATGAATCTTAATAGAAGGATGCCAGCTCAAAAATTAGATGGCACATCTTCTTATATTTATTTTGGAGTGATGCTAACTTGTTAAACAAGTGTAAGATACTACATGACTGTAATTTTAACCACACAGAGAAAGGACTGGCTTAGAAACGGTATTCCAGAGGACCCTACTGTATCCAGGAGACTGCCATGATGTCAGCACTTGGAGAGGAATATTGTAAAGACAAAGTACATGTCCTGGGTATGACTGACAGTTAGGAAGAAGAATAGCATGAAGATCATGTCAGTAAACACAAAGGGGGAGAGGGAAGAAAAATAAAAGCAGCAAGAGGCACAGTTTTGGGAATAGAAAACTCAAGAGCTGGATTTCAGATGTTGTATTTGAGTCACTGTTTAGGAAACTTCAGACTACCATGCTTAGATTTTAGATTTAGACAAGAGAAGACCAGACAGGAATCACCATCTGTGATTATTCAGCACAGTAAAACAGTTGCATATTTTGTCATGGAAACTACTGAAATGTGGTAGGGGGTTTGTGTGTTCTTTTTAAATAGGGGAAAGAGAAAAGTGTAACAGGATTAGCATTTTACCTATTTTCTCAGAAAGTTATTGTTTGACAGAGGAGATAATGAAATTTTCTAAAGGATTTGCATGACAAAGTGTTTAACAATCAGCGATAAAGACAGACTCCTGGTGGAGATTTGGCTACAGCTTAGATAAGAGCATGTCAGTGAAATACAAGAAGCTGGTTAGTAGAATTTCTAGAAAAAGTAGAACTCTAGAAAAATTGCAATTGCTAAGTAGCAAGCTAATTAAAAATTACAGAAATTATAAAAATTACGTACAAAATTACAGGAAACTGAGTAACAGGACGGGGGGTTCTATAGATGGTGTTTTAAAATGGGACAGTCAAAATGATTAAGCTTGTCCAACTCAGGTGAAATGCCTCTGATTCCTGAACTTTCCATTTCCCTCACTCACCACAGTATTGCATAAGTTTTCTTCTGGAAAAACAGTGTCAAAATAGGATATAACCTTCCTCCTCTTCCCTACTACAACTCTACCCTTTTCTCCTGGCCAGTATCCTCCTTCAGTCCCTTTTCTGTCTCACTAATTGCATCTGGCTTCATCTATTTTTCTTCATTCTAATTTTCTTCATCCATTTTTCTAAAGTCTCACTACCAACTAATAGATTTAACACATTTCCATCCTGAGTGGGCTACATGACAAATCAAGAGGGAAACAGCTGTTTAGTTCAAAGATGATGTTCCCCTAGTCACATAGAAATACAAACCAGCATGTCTGGAAGCTGTACTAGTTTCTGTTGCTGTTGTTAGCTGGGTGGAATTGCCCTACTCTCTGCTCTGGAAATAAAACACTAGATTTTCTGTCAGAATGACTAATGGCTATTGTATGTAATATGACTTAGCCATTTGAGATTACTGAATTGGCGGTCTCTCCATCGTATTACATAAAACTTACTTGTTCAGTAACTAACCGACAAATATGGAGAGAAAAACAGGTTGTACAGAAAGAGGAAATGAAGGAATATCACTGATGGGCAAAAAAAATCCTATCTTACGAACACATTTCATATAATGTATTCATTAATGACTAAGACACAAAAAGTTTTAATAAACAGCGATGAGGTACTGTCAATACAAAGGATCAGACTCTCAACGCACAAAATGTATGACCTTGAGGACTGCAGTAAGAGAAACAGGATGCTATTTAATAGCATGAATGGTAAGGTCAGGCGCTGAGGGAATAATAACCCAAGTTTCTCTTACACGCTAGAGACTTGTTATTTGTGGGAGGTAGGGAGACCTGGAAGAATTATTTGCTCATAGAATGGCTATAAAACTACCAATGTGTTGCAGCAGCGTAAATGCAAAAGTGATCCCATGATGTGTTAACTGAAACCAACCCAAGAGAGAGAAAATACAACTATCAATTTACAAGCCTCAGGTAACTGCTTGAAATGCTAGATTCTAACTAAGGTCTTTCAAGGAAATGAAAACTAAGGAGGGCATATGCAGAACTAAAAAAGAAGCAGCTTTCCTATTTCACAATATTATTATTACAGTTTAAATTAATTAGGCTGAAAAATAAAAATTTACATAAATATATCTAACATCTCCCTGTTACATAGTCCCAAAATTCGGCTCATTTAAAGGGCTATTTGAACATCTGAAGAATTATTACTTAAGTACCATTCTCAGAACACTTCTAAGTCAAAGCAGGAATTATAAAGGAGAAGGGTGCAAGAACCTGAACTCATACCATGCTTTGAGAAAAGAGGGGGGAAAAGAAAAAAAGAAAAAAGGTGGAAGCAGATTGGTTTTTTTATCTAGGTCCATGAGGCAAGTAGATTGTGTCTTTCCTTCACTTCCACAGTGCACAAACTAACAGTGTAGAACCTGTACCTGGTGGACAGATATGGAAAACTACTTTACAGGATTCAGTTTTCTGAATGGGAGATAATATTCAGGGTAAAATATTACATCCTTGTCCAAACAGCAACTCAAAATGGGTGCTCTCGGGACCTATGGCTGGAGGCAGATACATAATTCAGCTAGCAACCTTACTCCACACCATGTATAACCATCTCAAAATGGTCTTCATGTTTCATTCAATGTTACTGCTCAGTTATTCAGATTTCCTGGCTTTCAGAGCTGACAGCCTTCATCAATACAATTTAACTGATAAATATTCACTGAAATTTTCTTTCCTTGAAAAAAATCTTTCCAGCAGGACTCTTACTCATACACTTGCCCTTAGACACTGCAGTTACATCACTATTCATTCATGACAAATTTAATTCTAAGTTCTTTTTTTTTTAAGCAATTTCAGGGCTTTATTTACTGTTTTGTCACTCTGTGGTATAAAATCTCCTATATACTTAACCTACTGACTGAAATATTTGGAAAGCAGCTTTTGTAAAATGCAGTAAATAGCACGCAGCAGTAACTCTAACCTGCTGTGAACGTTCACAATGGCCAAACCTTACAGCTCTGAAAGGGCCTTTGCTGGAAATCTGATCTGAGCTAGTTTTAAAACACCCCTAAAGCACCATTTGTTCCCCTAAGAAAATCTAACTCACACATAGTAAAGAACAAAGACTAATTTGTAAAATAACAGTACTTACCTCGCTCAAATCCCTCTCTTCACTTTCTGCTTCACTAAAAGAAGAAAAATAATAACTACTTTGAAGTACCAGAGGAGATTTAAATTACTGTTTTAAAAAGTTATTAAACAAAAAAATATTTGCTTACCTGATTGAAATTTTAGTCAACCTAGTCCTCTATACTATCTTCACATCCATCTTAAAAGTATCAATTAATAGTATTTTCTGTTATTTGATTATCATAATCCTTTCTAATTATAAATGTTTCAAATCACAGGATTAAATCAGATACTTCCATACAATGGATAAATTCTAACAATAACTTGTGCTATCCAGACAAAACACTAATGCATACAATTAAAAGGAAAAAAACAAAAACCAGAACTCACTCAGGATGGATGTTTTTGATCTCATATACCAAAAAATTTCTAGCATTTCATTGCAAACAGTTTTTTGGAAAGTCCTCTTTACATAGGCATGCTTGACATGCACTATACTGATGGTTAGGCTTAATATCAATATTTTCATTTATTATACAGCTACAACTTAGGGTATTAAAAAAGGAACCTACCTGAATATACTAAGGCTAAGATAACCACTGTTAATTTCCATCCCACAATTTAAAAAATAATTTATGTTATTAAAGAAGCCCCCAAAGTCAAGGCTTTGAGGGGCACTTTAAGCCACCAGTAGGTAATCAAGGTCACGAAAGAAACCATTATCTTGTTGGAGTCAATTACATTGATTTAATCTAAAAAAAAAATCCAGAAAACTATCTGTAGAAATAAAATTATCTGTAGAAATATTTCTTAATAGATTATTACTATTTAAAAAGAAAAAAACCAACAAAATAATAAACCCAAAAACTCCAGATATGCTTATATGTATTAAAGAAAATACTTAGAATGTATCAAGGTCTGTAATTCTGATGCTGGTCCTAAGCAAGCAGAAGCCACAGTAAGAGGTAAAATGATCTCCTTGGTGTTTTTGACACGGTTATACAGGGAACTGCCTTACTAGTGTCTTGAGATGTTTTATTAAAGGGGCTAGAGGTGGTTGTGTATGACCTGTGACACATTTGGACTGACATAGAATCTTTAACCGAATATTTTTAAGGAAAATAAGCAGTCCTAGGGTGATGAGAAAGGCCAGGCATGAATAAATAGATGCCTAAAAGATAGGGAATAGAAGCTGGAAGCAAGCAATCACTTGCTGCAGTGGAGGAAGATGACTAGCATATACCCCACAGGAGACTGTGCTGGGGCTCAAATCATTCTGTGAGCTCAGCAACAAAGCAGGCAAACAGGCAGGTCACAAAGTTTTTTGATAACCGAGTTACACAGTAAAGACAAGAGGGGAATGAAGAATTGCAAACGGACCTGAATGATGAATGATGGATGAAATCTAAAGTATATAAAAGTAAAGCTATGTACATTGAGGAAAAGGAGTCCCGCACACAGAACAGAGAGGTCACAGCTGACCATCATTGATCATGTTGTGTTCCTCAGGGGTCTGTACTGCGACCAATACTGTCAAGCATCTTCATCAATGACACAGACAGCGGGATTAAGTGCACCCTCAGTAAGTTTGCTGATGACACCAAGCTCAGTGGTGCAGTCTCAACACGCTGGAGGGAAGGGATGCCACACAGACGGACCTGGACAGGCTTCAGTGGTGGGCCTCAACAAGGCCAAGTGCAAGGTACTGCACACAGGCTGGGGCAACCTGTGGTGCTGATACAGGCTGGGCAATAAACGGATTGAGAGCAGCCCTGCCAAAAAGGACTTAGGAGGTACTGGTAGATGGAACGTCAGACATAAGCCAGCAACGTACACTCACAGACGAGAAGGCTAACCATATCGTGGGCTGCATCAAAAGAGTGACCAGCAGGTCAAGGGAGGCAATTCTGTCCCTCTACTCCGCTCTGGTGAGACCCCCCCTGCAGTGCTGTGTCCAGCTCTGGAGTCCTCAGCACAGGAAAGACATGGACCTGTCAGAGGGATCCAGAAGAGGGCCACAAAAATCATCAGAGGGATGGAATACCTTTCCTGTGAGGAAAGGTTGAGAAAGTAGGGGTTGTTCAGCCTGGAGAAGAGAAGGATCTGGGAAGACCTTATTGCAGACTTTTCACACCTAAAGGGGGCTTATAAAAAAGTTGGGGACAAACTTTTTAGCAGAATCTGCAGCCACAGGACAAGGGGTAATGATTTTAAACTAAAAGAGCGTAGATTCAGACTAGGTATAAAATAGAAGTTATTTAAGATGAGGGTGATTAAACATGGAAAGACGTTGCCCAGAGGTTGCAGATGTCCCATTGCTGGAAACATTCAAGGTTAGGTTGGACAGGCCTCTGAGCAACCTGATCTAATTGAAGATATCCCTGCTTATTGCAGGCGCTTTGACTAGCTACAAATTCTTGAAGCTGATAAATATTCACGCAGTTGTCACTGTTCAATACTCAACAGTAGTTAAAAAAGCAAATCAGAAGTATTAAAAAGAGAAGAATATATAGACAATCTTCATGCAAGCATCAGATTTATGATTCAACTCTTTATAATATGTTGTTTAGCTTTTGGAAAAAAAAGATATTTTAAAATATAATGAGAGTTGGGAAGAGCAACAAGAATAAACACAGATACAGAACAGGTTCTGTGTGACAACTTGAGTAGGCTTTAAAAGTTTAGGCCAGAAAAGAGATGGCTTAAGAAAGGATTGTGGTAAAGATAGGTATGAAGGCACTGACTGCTTACTGTTTCCTCCAGCACAAGACTTAGAATTTATCAAATGGTGCCAGTAGTAGATAGGTTCAGAACAAAAAGATGAGGTACTTCTTCCCGCAGAAGGCAGGAAAGTTTGAATGTAAACAATACTACAATTGACTGAATAACTACTCTGATGAGAGCTCTATTAAGACAAAATAAGTAGATGAACCACATGAAGCTCTGACAATTCCCTGAGCTGAGAGCTGGCGGAGATGGGAGTCTCCTTGGGTAAACATTACACTTGCCCTGTTTTTATTCTTTGTTGTGCATCTCCTGATGGGCAATGTTGGTGACAGGATAGTGGGTCAGAGGAACATCTGATCCGATCTAGCATTGCCATTCTTAATTTCTTAAAAGAATAATAGACAAACAATGAGCACATGATGCTAATCAGGACTAACATCCTGAAAATAAAACTGTTCTGTAAATTGGAAATCACGTATTAACCTTTTGACAGCAGGAACTGAGCTTAGATGTGGATCATCCTTCAGTAGATCATGACTACTTTTACTTTTTCCCTTCATGCTCTGTTAAAAGAACAACAAAAAAACATACTGTCAGTCTCAGAGAACAGATGGTGAAAAAGGATAATGGTAAGAAAAAGATAATTTGTTTCTTTTTAGCTTTAGCCTAACCAGTAAACATAAACACTTTTAATAACAGAAAAACAAATCACTACAAATCATAAAGATACAAGGTGTAGCACATATATACTTGAGTCAATGAAGAATTAAGAACTTGACTTTCCAATAATAGCATATGACAGGTCAAAGAACTACCATATACAAAGCAGTACTTATCAACTTTTCCCATAAGGGAAAAAAACAACAACAAACCAATAACCTGCACTACATAAACCTGCAACACATTATGCAGGAGTCATTTACTGAAGTAAGCAGTAAAGTAAGTCTAACACGTCACAAGATTTTCTAGTAGAAAGACCATGGTAAGAAAGCATTCCTCATGCTAATCCAAAAAGTATACTTGAATTTCAGGCTGAAATCAGACTGAAAATCTCTGTAAGAGAAACAGTCTATACTAAGACTTTAATGTCTCCATTTCAGATGCATTTTATAATCCTTTCAGGAAGACAGTAGTTCTATGGATAATAAAATCTTACTCATTTTAACACAACTTTAATTTTTTATTACGTAGATAAAAAGACTAACACATTCAGCAACATGAAAAATTGCTTCCTTCAACAAGTAATCTGTGTGAGTGTTCAGGAGCTAAACAAAACATAAGAGAAGTTCTTAGCACCTTCATACACTGTTCCAAACAAGTAGATCATTAAATGAGCAGTTAAGACACGGAAAGATTCAGTTCAAACACTAATCAAAAACCAGTGGTGGCCCTGCTGTAACGTTCCTGAGTAGCTTTGAGTTTCACCTGGAGCTTCTCTGACAATGATCATCATTTTAGCCCAGTCCTGAGAATCCACTCACTGCCTGAGCTATATCAAAGGTGTACCTGTGTCTCCAGCCTTGCCTTCTGGACGGGCCTGTTGGATCTACGTTGACTCCAGCCCTGTCTCCTGTCCCATCTGACTGGTTGCTCCTGACTGGACTCTCTGGATAGGGACCTTGGTTATTTCTTGCTGTCTCAAAGACTGTTGATGGATTCAGTCACCAGCAAACAACTCTGACTGCTGTATCCAGACCCTGCTGGTGAGTGCGCTGCCTGTGCTGGAGTCACTCTTACTTCCTTGCTCGTGCTCCCTCATGTAGTCATTCTACTATTGCCACTTCTTGACACAAATCTCCCTAATCCTGCCTTCTATGACCTCCTGGGATACAAAAGTTTTCTTTCTTAGATTTCTACTCTCTATAATATAATCATGTAGGTATTCTTCCAATAGAGAAGACACAACTTGAGCTGAAATGTTTGAAAGACACCAATGGCCCTATTACCTTTTTTTCATCTCTTTTTAAAAGTATTTATACTTCTTCCTTTAATCATGTTCTTTATATTCACAATATAAATTACAAGAGGCAGAAATATTTTCTTTCTATATTTATTTGCTCATTTACCTTTGTGTCTCAATTTTTATATTGTAAGAAAAAGGGAATAAACATTCTCATCTTTCCCTCTATCTCTCTCTTTTTTTAAATTTTAGAGTAACTGTGATCCATATCCCCAATTATCCTGGTTAAGTCTGGTGATGCATTGCAGAAAAAGCAAAATACATTCCCTCGCTTTGACTAATGGGAAAAATGGAGAAAATACTTTGGCAGGCATTCTTAAATTCAGTACTTACTTGGTTAATATGATGCAATTAAGAAAAGAATTCTTACTTTTCACACTTAAACATGAAACCACTACATACTGTAAAAGTTTCATCCTGATATATGAAGCTTTCATTTCCTCTTTAGTAATTTTAGCTTCAGCCTCATCGCAATAAAAATTAATAGAAAATGTTCCATTTTCCCAGATCCGTTAGAGCATTCCTCAGTTACTTGCACTTTCCTCTCAACCTCAGTCCTTGAAAGTATACCTTTCTTACATTGAAACAAGCAAGATTTACTGCACCTAGCAACAAAAAAATGTTCACAGAAGGATTCAAAATTTGTAGATGTCAAAGAATCCCATTACTAACTTAGACCTTTACTTTTTCTTACCAAAAACAGAGAATGAAAGGTGATGCTGAAGTTCACATACTTCAGTATAATCAGCGAAACTGTTAATCAAGTTTAACAGAACTATAGAGATAGCGATCTAGACCTTTAGAAATAAGCAATGAGGTTTGGAAAAAACGTTTCATTCTTTTGTAAAAAAATGAATTTAAATTCTTCATAAATAGCTGTTTTGGTTATTCTCCTCGCTACAGTGAGTTCAGAATTTAGTCAGAACAAATATGACGAGATTTTAAGACTGATTTGAAGACAGCATGACAACACTGAAACTGAGCTTGTCATGAAAGAAGTGGTTTATTTAGATAATTTTAAACTGAAGAGCAAGTATTT